CCACTTAAATGTGTATTAAATTAAATTTCTATTTGACCTAAAATAAAAAAAACTCTCCCACAAAGAAAACCTCAGACCCAGATCAAAAAACATAAAATATCTAGCAATAAATGTAATAAAAGATGTGCCAGTCCTGAATACCGAAAACTATGACACATTGCTGAGACAAAACTTAAACTAAGAGAGATACAATGTTCCTGCACTGAAACGCTCAGTATAAAGTGTCCAATCACCCTGAATTAATCCATAGATAGAGCGCAATCCCAGCCTTAATCACAGTGGGATTTTTTTTTGTAGAAATTGACAATCTCATCCTAAAATTTATATTGAAATGCAGAAGACACAGTCTTGCTGAAGAACAAAATTATAGAACTTGTACCAACCGACTTTATGATTTACTATAAGGTACGGTAACCAGTCCAGGTGGTGTCAGGATGGACAAACTGACGTCCCATCAAGGCATTGGGTCAGCTCAATGGGCAAAGGAAAGTCTTAAGCAACATAGCCGCTTACCCATCTGGAAAATATGAACCCCGACTCCTATCTCATTCTCCACATAAGAATTAATCCTAGATATATAACAGACCTAAACACAAAACCCAGAACCTCGACATTTCTATCAATAGAAGAAAGCCCAGGAAAATATCTTCATGAGTTTGGGGTTAGTAGATTTGGATAATAGAAAATTGTTAACCCTTAAAGAAAAAACTTGATAAATTGAACTTCGTTTAAAAATACCAGTAGAGGCCAGGCGCAGTGGCTCACACCTGTGATCCCAGCACTCTGGGAGGCCGAGGCGGGAGGATCACTTGAGGTGAGGAGTTCAAGACCAGCCTGAGCAAGAGCAAGACCTCATCTCTATCAAAAATAGAAAAATGAGCCCGGCATGGTGGCATGTGCACCTGTCGCCCCAGCTAGTGGGAGGCTGAGGCAGGAGGATCACCTGAGCCCAGGAGTTTGAGGTTGCTGTGAGCTATGACGACGTCACTGCGCTCTTCCCTGGGGCGACAAGGGAGTCTCTGTCACAAGAAAAAAAAAAGGAAAACTAAAACCACATTAAGATACCACTTCACACATACCAGGATGGTCACAGTCAAAAACGCTGACAACACTACAGATTGGTGAGGACGAGGGCACAGCCGGCAGGACTGTGAACTGCTACAATCACTTCAGAAAACTGTTCTGCGGTTCCTCCTAAAGCCCACAGTCCAGAACTCCACTCTCAGTGATGACCCGAGTGAAGTGGGTGTGCCCAGGAAAGACCTGAACAAGGATGTTCCAGTGGCCTCGTTAATAATAATCAGAAACTGGAAATAACCCGCACGTCTATCAACTGCAGAACAAACGAGCGACCTGCAGAGCAACATGCAACGAAACACTGTTACACAATTTTAAAGACCCAACTTCGTGCAAAAACATGGATTGGATGAATCTCAAAAACAGTTTGTTAAATAAGAGAAACCAGACATAAATGTACATACCTTAAGAGTCTATTTATACAAAATCCAAGAACAGGCCAAACTCATCTGCAGCAATAAAGAAGTGATTGAATAAAACTGGGAAACAGACCTCTATACAAACAAAGCTGAAAACCTAAATAAAGTATATATATTTTCCTAGGAAAATTTATCAAAATTGATCCCAATACAGATAGAGAGCTTAACAGATCAGTTTCTGTAGAAGAAACGGAGAAGTTATCGAGGAATTACCCCACAAAAACGCACCGGGCCCAGATGCTCTAACACGGAATTCTACCAGATCTCCACGAAGGTCGGACAACATCA